CTTCCTCTCCCATAGACCAAGCCTCGTGGAGAGAGATGAACTCTCTCTACCTATCCCCATGAATGGCCTTTGAGATGAATGGCAGATGTAGTGAGCATTAAGCACCTACTGGATGCAAGGTCCCATACTCTGTGCTGGGGAACCAAGGATAAAAATGAAAAATAATGCCTGACTTCAAGGGACTTGCATTCTATTATGGAGACAGAAGAGATGCACAAGTAAGTGAAAAGAAAAGAATGTGAGGAGAGAGAGAAAGACTGCTGAAGGAATCAGGAAGGCTTCCTATGGGGAGGCCCCCTAAGCTGATCTCTGATGAAAGTTAAGGATTCACTGAGACAGAGTTGGAGGGAGGGCATTCCAGGCATGAGGCACTGCCTAGGCAAAGACATAGGGTATGTTGAGGTTAGGGAATATGCAGCAGTACAATTTGATGAGAATAGACTGAGTGGAGGGGAGTAATGGAGAGTTGATCTGTAAATGTGAGGAGGAGCTAGGTGGTGGAGAGTTTCAAATGCCAGGCAAGTCTTCGTCTCCTCGACTACTTGGAAATCACTGACCGAGCTGCCCTGGCCTGTCAGCAAGTGATGAGCAGACAGCCCTGGTCTCCAGAATGACTCATCCCTGGCTCCAGGCAGGGACAGACACCTGCTTTTATCTCAGTGACTTACAAAGTTAAGGGTGCATCAAGGCCCCTCCTTCCTCTTCCACCAAAGGAGAAGCTGCTAGGATCAGCTCTGATTCAGAGGATGCTGTGCAGACTGGAAGAGGCCCTGACTTAGCACTGGAGAGCTTGGGTTTTAATCCTGCCTTGACTCTGGGCAAGGCCCTGGGAAGCTGGCTGGTCCAGTGCATAGAGCACTTGACGCTGACTGCATGTGTATCCTTGGGCAAGTCACTGAACCTCTACTTGCCTCAGTTTCCTCACCTGTAAAATGGGGATAACAACAGTACTGCCTCCCAGGGTTGTTGTGAGGATTCAATGAGATAATGTGCATCAAGGATTTACCGCCGTGCCTGGTGTGCAGTAGGTGCTTAATAAATATTTGTGATGATGATGAAAATGACAATGATGATGATAGTGATGATGATGATGATGATGGTGATGATGATGATGATGATGATAATGATGACGCCCCTTTGCCCCTCTGGGCTTCAGTGTCTTCATCTGTGAAACGAGAGGGTTGAGTTGCCAGCAATGACCCCCAAAATCCTTCCCAGCTCTCAGCTCAGCCACACAGATGCTGCTCTGCTTGTCTGAGGAACTAGCTAAGCAGCCCTCCACACACAGGATCACCGTCCTGGATTCTTCACATCTGAAAAGAGGAATGGTTTTCCTTTTGCTTGACCTTTGGAACGATGATTCATTACTCTTGCAAACGCCTTCTTCTTTTACTGATCCTTCCTTTGTTGTTCCAAGTTCATCAGCTCTTGTTTATTTAAAGCTAGTGGGGGGAGGGGAAATGTGAATGTTTTCTGCCGCAGAAATGTTAAAGGTGTGGAGGAGCACAACTCGTCAGCTGAGTGCCACCCACATGTTCGTTTTCTGGACAATGGGAATGCGAAAAGTCCACTCCAATGATCTGCCAGCATTTAACCTGTGTTCCTGGAGGATAGTATGATTAAAGTTGCAGTTTTTGTTCAAGAGTTTGTGTTGGACCTTTAAAGTTTGTAAAAGCTCTACGCTTGTTGTTTAGACGGCAGAAGACCAAGGGTCAAGACACTGAGATGAGAAACATTTGTACATGGATGGCTCTAAGCCCTGAAAGTGCCCTGACTTTAGACTCCTGAGGCCTGAGAACCAGCTCTGGCTCTCCCACTCACTCTCTATGTGACCTTGGACAAGTCACTGAAAAGTGCCCCTTTGGCCAAAGGACTCTCTGACCTTCGCTCGCCATCACCTGCTGCTGATTGGATATTTCTCATCAGATGCCCTGCAGGCACCCCAAACACATCGAATGCCCATCCCCTCTTCCTGCCTTCCCTGTTTGTGTCGGGGGCCCCGGGTTCATGACCGCTGGCCCAGCCTTGACTCCGCCTTGCCCCTTACTCCACTTGGGCAGCCATTTTCTGAGTCAGCAGTTCAGTTTTCATGTCACCCTCCTCTTTCTCCTTCTCTGCCCTCACACGGTCCTCACCCTCTCAGGTCTCCTGCGGCCTGGGGTTTAGACCATCTCAATGGCCTCCCAAGCAGTGTCTCTGCCTCTATCCTTTCTTTTCCCCAGACCAAACTCCACTCAGATGCCCAACTGATATTCATAAACTAAGGTCTGACCTCGTCACTCCCCTGCTCCAGAACCTCCACTGGCTCCCTATTGCCTCTAAGATTAACACAAATTCCTCTGGATCTGAAAACTCTTCCATCTGGCTCTAGTCTCCCTTCCCAGGCTCGCCAGGCCTTCCGTATGGTCCAGCCAAACCAGCTTGCTGATTGTGCCCCGAGTCTCTGCTTCCTCTTCACTTTGTCTACTTCCTAAAATCCCTGGTCGACCCCCAGGGTCACCCCAAGAGCCCCCTCCCAGGCAGGATTTTCCTTATTCCTTCAGGAGCTGGTGCTCCTCCCCCCAATCCTCACCAACCTACTTTGTACCAATTTTATGCATTTTGTGTTTATCTCCCCAGAGAATAGAAGCTTCTTGAGGTTCGGGATTGTGGTTTTCTGACTTTGAATCCCCAGTGCCTGGTATACAGCAGTCTCTCAGCAAACACTTGTGGAATGGATATCGAATTTTATACACACATGTATTCATAGGAACATATATTACAGAGAGATAGAACCAGAGTTAGACAGACAGACAGACACACACACACACACAAATACACACACACACACACACATATACACATTCAATTAAACCAGAAACATTTATTAAGCGCGCATTGTATATGATAGCCGGAGGTTGGCAGTGAGGATGATTAGAAAAAAAATGAAAACCCAAATGTGTCTGCCCTCAAGGAGTTGCCATTCTACCAAGAAGGGGGAAACGGTACTTCCACAGCTAAGGATGGTGCAACATAAGGTAGAGTGAGATGCACCCAAGGGAGATCCACACTAAAGGCTCCAGTGAAATCTGAGAGAGGAGAAATCACTTTGGGGAAGGGGAGGAGGGGGGAAATCAGCAAGTACTTCAAAGAGAAGGCAGCCGCAGTTCAGTCTGGAAGAAAGAGAAGGGTTTCTATGGGGGAGTGTTCTAGGGATGGGGCATCTCCCAGGGCATCACCGGGGGCTTCGGGGGGGGTGAGGAGGGAAGCGAGGCTATAAGGCAGCTGGGGGGTTTGGTGGGCCAGTGGGATGCTACCTGGAGTCTGGAAGAACCAAGGGATTAAAAATCCTGCCTCAGACACTTGCTGCCGGTGTGACCCAGGGCAAGCCATTTCACCTCTCCATTTCCCCACCCATGGGGAACTCCTACTTTCCAGGGTTCTTTTGAGGACAAATTGAAATAATGTTTGTCAATTGTTTTGCAAACCTTCAAGCCTGATATAAATACTGCAAGGATTATTAAGTATTAGTATTATTATTAAGATAGGAGAAGATCCGTGAATCCTCACTGGAAAGTAAGATGGACACTGGCCCAGAGGCAAGAGACCCATCCTGACTTTGCCACTGACCATCTGGGTAACCTTTGGGCCTCAGTGTCCCCAGCTGGAAAAAGGAGAGGAGTTACCAGTGAAGCGCCGACATTCTGCGATCTCGTCTGATGCCCCCCAGCCCTTTGAGGTCTGTCAGAGCAGGTAGAAGCAGGCTCAGACTCAGCCCTTTTTGAAGCGTTTACAAGTACATCTTCTGAGGCCAACTACTCCCTTTTTAAATCCTCACCTTCTCGTGGGTGGGAAGGGATGCACTCATACTGAGGGACAAGGAATAAATTTTGGTGGGCAGATGGGCACAGTAAATGCAAAGCACCAGAGTCCAGGCCCCACCCCTCCTTCTCTGGCCCTACCAAGCGCCACCGAAATCCTGAGACTGAAGGGATCTCCTAGTTTCTCTCCCAGGGGCTCTGATGAACTCCCAGAGCCCCACAATACCCACGACCCAACCTCTCCCTTCTACTACACACACATCCACACCACACACACACACACACACACACCCCACACCCCCCACACCCCCCCCCCACACCCCACACACACACACACCCCCACACACACCACACACACATACACCCAACACCACACACACACACACACACACACATCCACACCACACACCCTTCCTTACTAGTCATAAGGCCAAGCAAAATGTTCTTTCTTGGTCTCGTCTCCAAGAAAGAGAGAGTGTAGATGAATGTGGCATCATTAGTGAGATCTGAGGTCTGCTGGTAAGGTGCCCTTTCCACCCTCTGATGGCACTAACTGCTAGAAAGCTGCTGAGGCTACACCTATCATAGGTGCATTCAGAAGGTGTTTAATAAATGTTTGTTGCACTGAACTGAATTGACTTGAATTACATTTTGACCTTGAGCCCCCGATTGCTCTGTATATCAAAGACCCAGTAGGCTTCTCACTACTGCTAAATTTCTTTTCAGTTTTTAAAAATATGTGTTGTTCTTTGTAAAACAAAATGCTCACTAATGTCATTATAGACTCTTTGAAAGATGCCTAGAAATGTATCTATAGTATTTATCCATCCAACTTCTTTATCTTGTCTCTCTTGCCTGTCTCTCCTATCCTATCTATTCTATAGGTTCTGTAGCTGACCATGACCATGTCTACACCGCAGCCCCCAGAGTCTGTCTATCTGTGAGGACTTGGTGGTGGTTACTGGAGTGTCTGAGTTTTCTCATTTCCTCTGTGGGTTTTTAATCATCTCCGTGGGTTTTCTTTTTTAACTCAAAGTCTGCCTCCAACCATCTTTAGACACAGGGACCATTCCCCATCCCTCAGCCCTGGCCTTGACTTTGACCCCCAATGTCCTTCCAGGCCTGGCCCTGTTCCACCTCCAACTCAAACCTTTATAAACAACATTGATAGTGGTGTCAGGTAGTCTTTATTCTGAGGGACAATCTTGAGCATGCGCCCCTGGGAAACATGGCCCCTTTATCATCAAGTACAAAGACTCCCCTTCAATGCATTCATTTGCCCCTAAGTTTTTCTTTTTGTCACTGGGGAGTTAGATGTTCCCCTCTGAATTTTTAATCCAAAGTATTTAATAAAATATGGCTGTGTTCAGACATACCCCCCAAATCTTCAGGCCTCTGGGGTTTCCATTTGTAAAATAGCCTGTGTTCCCTCCCATAGTTAAGTGAGCTCATGTCTGGGGCAGGATGAGAGGACCCACGAAAAGCACTGTTTATAATCGTTAATAACAACAACAATAATAATAATAACAATAGCTAGCATTTATATGTCACTTTAGGGTTGTAAAGCACTTTACTTCGGTTATCTCATTTGATTCTCATAATAGTCTGCTTCTAAAAGGGTCCAGTCTCATAAATACAAGCAATGGCTGGACAGTGATCAACGCGCCTTCATGAGATGGAAGTCTTGGCCTTGAGAAAACTACACCAGGAGGCAAGTCCAGACCATGTGCAGTGGATGAAATTTGAAAAATGACACAAAGTAACAAGAGTTCAATTCCACCAGGAGGTCGTTGTGCTGGGCTACAAACCAAAACAAAACCTATCTGCCCTCGAGGAGCTTACATTCTAGAGGGAGATGAAGCAGGTGCTCAGTTAAGTCATTAAAAAGTACACACAAAGTCCTACAAAGCAATCTCCAGGAGAGAGGTCCGACCCCTGTGAGAAAGGGGGAAGAGCTCGGCCCCCAGGGCTGGCCTGGAAACAAGCCAGGAATTCCGTGAAGAGCACTTCGATAAAGGCCGGTGGAGACCCTGAGCTTCCACTGACAGTTCTGACAGGCCAAACAGGGTCAGCAGCGGCTCTGTTGCAGGAGCAGCTGTAAAGACCCACCGTCAGAACAAAATCCCATCTTTGGGCGCGTTTTCCATGGGCTTTTGATGCTCCTGCTTCCTGTGGTATCTTGCCTTCTGGTAGAAAACAATGACGATGACGGTGAGGATGTTGAGGAGGAGAATGAGGAGTAGGAGCCAGAAGGAGTACTGGTATGTATGAGTTGTGTCGCCGTATGTGTAACCTTCCATTAGGTAGAGTGTGGAGCTCAGCACCCCTGACAGATTGTTGGCCTGCGTGTTCACGGCAAAGAGGATCATGGCCACCACGACAAAGGTCACTGGAGGGGAAAAGAGAAGGACGTGGGGGTCTGAGTACTTGGTTAATTATTTCAACTTCAGGGGAAAGTTAGGAAGCATTCATTCAGAATCCACGCCAGCCATTCAGCATCCAACACGTCCTGCTGCAGAGATCACACCCAGGAGCTCGGCCGGGACCACGCTGCTCACACAGGCACAGCCCAGCCTTTCTACTGACTCTGAGAACCTAAATCCAATTAACACATACATTAATACACAGTCTCTGAAAAAGGCTGGGTTAAGGGACTCCCTATGGCTCTACTCATCACACCACACTCCCTTCCCTGGCCACCATTCTCCTGGGTGAGTCATCTTTCCCCGCTGGAAGGTAAGCTCCTGGAGCGTAAGGACTGTCTCCACCCTAGCGGTCCACCCTTAGCTGAAAAGCTTTTAATCCATTCATTCATTCATTCATTCATTCATTCATTCATTCATTCATTCATTCAGAGTGCTGAGTGGAAAGAGAAAGAATGGAATTGGATTAGCTTGGCTACTCTGATTAACTCACATTTATCAACCAATCAGCTGAGCATTTATTAAACTCAATCCCTGTGCTAGATACTAGGGAGGCAAAGGCAGAAGTGAGACAGCCCCAGCTCTTGAGAAGCAAATAAATGAATCGGGAGGAAGATGATGATGATGACAATGATGATGATGATGGTGATGATGATGATGACGATGATGATGATGATGATGGAGGTGGTGGGGTATGTATGTGTGTGTGTGTGTGTGTGTGTGTAGGAAGAGAGGAGGGAGTGGATTCCAGGCATGAGGCACAGCCTGTGCAAAAACTAGTAGGTGGGAAATAGTGCAGGAAGAATAAGCAATAAGGCACTGCCTACACCATTGAGTTCAAGAAGGGGAGTGCCACATAATAAGGTTAGACAGGTCGTCTGGAACCAAGTCAGGAAGGACTTTAAATGAAAAACAGAATTTTTTATTTGATCCTAGAGGTAAAAAGGAGCTACTGTTCCTATAAGAAGGCCTTTCTCTTCCCCACTGTCTCTCGGTATGTTTGGTTTGTTTGTTTCTGTTTTCAAAATAAGCTCAATCAAAGGCTTTTCTTCTTGCAACACAGCCGTTTGTGAAGATCTCTTCCCGTTAGATCGAAGCCTCCCTAGTAACAAGAAACGTGGTTGAACAAAAGTATAGTGGCCTCCTCTGAAAATGGACGGATGCTGACACCCTGCCCAAGTTGTCCCCGGCATCCAGGCATGGGAGGGACGAGCGTCATTCTCTAGGGCCATGCCTGATGTTCCAGTTGCACAGGATTGGACTTCCTTTTCAGAGTCACCTTTTCTCTTACACTCTTTGCATTTTGACCCTGCTTATCTCATTTTACATCAGTTCATGCAAATCTTCCCTGTTTCTCTGAATTTCTCATTTGCTTCATTTCTTGGTACATGATGATGTGTGTGTGTGTGTGTGTGTGTGTGTGTGTGTGTGTATTGGTGAGGCAATTGGGGTTAAGTGACTTTCCCAGAGTTACACAGCTATTGAGTGTTATGTGTCTGAGGCTGGGTTTGAACTCAGGTCCTCCTGATTCCAGGGCCGGTGCCCTATCCACTGTGCCACCTAGCTGCCCCTGTACACCATAATATCACATTACCTTGACACACCACAGATTTTTCATCTCTCTGTTCAATGCCGGCCCCACCCACTTTGCTTCTTGGTCTTTGCTACTGAAAAACAAAAAGTGCTTCATTTCTTTCTTCCTTTGACCCTGCTGAAACAGACACCCAGCAATGGAACCCACTGATTGAAAGATACGACAAGTTTGATCCCTTTTCTCGAAAAAATTATGGATTGCTATCCAGAATAGTAGGGACAATTCACAGCTCTGCCAGCAGAGCGTCCATCTCCCCACAGACCGTCCATGGACTAATTTCACTTTTTGTCAGCCTTGCCTATTTGCAAAGTATCTGAACAAACTTATGAGTTGTTTTAATTTGTATTTTTCTTACTATTGGTGATTTGGAGTATCTTTCAAATGGTTCTTGTAGTTTGCAATTTTTTTCAAAAAAACCTGTTTATATTACTTTGATTAATGCAATGACCATCAGATGACCTTAACCTCTCTGCGCCTTAGGGAAAGCTCTAAGACCATATTAATGTACAGAACACTTTTCTCTGGAGGCGCATCCTCAGTCTACTGAAATAGTGGCCTACTCTACTCCCACCACCCCCAAAAAATACATAAAAAATGTGGCTCATCTCCAGAGCCTACACACATGCGTTTAAAGGTAACAGATTTCACCCAATGACCTTTATTGATCAGTTGGGCCGGGCAGCCTCAGTGGTCCCTTACAATCCAGATTCTGGGATTCTGGGACTTGACTGGAGCAGATGTTCAGGACAACGGGCACCTAGAGGCTTTCTCCAAATGACTCCTCAGTAGAGGGAGTTAGTGTATGGCTGATAATACCCTATGATGCCACAATCAGGCTTTCAATGACATGATTTGCTTTCTTAATCATTTGCCCTTTGCAAAAAAAACCCTTTCTTCTGACACTCATTAAGAGGAATCCAAACCTTAATTATCCTTCATTATGCCCCTGTAAAATTTTTTGTAAAGGCTGAGTCACAGAAAGGTAAAAGGCACACAGGTTTAAAAGATTTAAAAAAAAAAAACCTCTGTGCCCGAGTCTCTGCTTTGAACTCACGAGTTCCAGAAGGAAGGCCCAAACCCTGCCGGGCTCCCAGCTGCTGGAGTGAAAGGTGGCCCAGTGGCTCAGGCTTCTGTCTGGTCCCAGGAGCGATGGGACTGTGTGACCTGGGCCCAGCCTCTCTGTCAGCCTTGGCTCCCGGCCTACCGTCTGCCTCACTCTTCTGTCTAAAGGGGACATCTTCAGCCATAATATCGATGCCTGGAGTTTGGAGGGACATAACCCATTTAGATCCATGGAGAGCTTTACACATGTGATCTCACTTGACTCCTTTACCAACCCTATGAGTTAGGAGCTATTCATTGTACCTATTGTACAGGTGGGGAGACTGAGGCTCATCAGAGTGGTTTGAATGACTTGTCTGTAGTAACACAGCGAGTTCCATGTCAGAGGTGGGATTTGAATTCAGGTCTTCATGAATCCTCTAGCCACATCACGAAGCCCTCTTCCCCTCTGGCTTCCGGTCCATCCAATATCCCCCTTCTATCTAACTCAGAGAAACAAGCACAAGATGAAGAGCTCAGTGCCTGGTACACAGTAAGGGTTTAATAGTTGTTCCATCTGCTCTATCAAAACTTCATACAAAAGATCTTTGGGGGCTGGAAGGCCCAGGACTGGGATTCCTCTGTAAGTGCAATAAATAACATCACTGAGAGCTTACTCTGGGTCCAATACTGTCCCTGCCCTCGAGGGGCTTACATTCTACTAAGACAGGAGAGTGATGACAGGGACCGATATTTTGGTCTGGGAAGGCACCCTGACGGACAGACGGATGGCAGAGTCATTAGGGAGGTGACTGACACGTGCTTCCCTCCAGTAGCAGGGGTGGGGGGATGGGGGCGGAGTGTTTATTTGATAAGAATTCCCAGAGTTCTAGGAGATACAAAGCAGTGAGAGGGGTGCCGTGGAAGCTGAAATATGCCTGGCAAATGGCTAGAAGGTGGCCCCAGTGGAGGCTGGATGGGGGACAGCACTGGGCCACATCCCTCACCAAAGCAAACAGCTCAGACCTTTGCTTCTAAAATGGGGTGCATCAAACTCCCCAGGGCCTGGTCTTTGGTGTTTTTTTTTTTTTACTTTGGTTGGGCAGTGGGGTTAAGTGACTTGCCCAGGGTCACACAGCTAGTAAGTGTTATGTGTCTGAGGCTGGATTTGAACTAAGGTCCTCCTGAATCCAGGGCCAGTCCTCTATCCACTGCACCACCTAGCTGCCCCCAGGGCCTGGTCTTTAGAAGCCTGGGGACCATCAACCTTTCTCTAAAGGACTGAGGGGATAAATAAATTAATAAAAAAAGTTTTAAATAAAAGACTAGGGGGAGAGGCAGTGAAGGGGCCAAGAAGTGATGCCAAAAGGAAAACTTAGGGGACAAGGGATAAGAAAGCAAATTTTGTGGCAATGATAATGATGACAATGAATTATATCATAATTATACGACAGTTATAATAACACACATTTCTACTGTGCTTTAGATTGGCAGATTCCTGTACATGTTATTTCTACATAGGTTATGCGGGCAGGTAAGGGACTTCACAGTACACAGAGCCCTGGGACTGGAGCCAAGAAGATCTGAGTTCAAATCCAACCTCAGACACTGTGTGTCCTTGGCTAATCATTTAATCTCTGTTTCCTCAACTATAAAAGAAGAATGATAATAGCACCTGCCTCTCGATTATGTCTATTTCTCCATTGTTTGAACCCTGAGCCAGGTTGATTATAGCTATAAGGATGCGGGGCGGGGGGAGGGAGGGGGGACAGAGAGAGAGAGATGGATCTGATATTCAGAGACAAAGGGAGACAGAGACAGATAGGTACAAAGAGAGAGAGAAGAAGAGACAGAGGCTCCTTACACGGAGCTCAATTTCTCCACTTACTACTTAGTCCGTTCCAAACAAAAATGCTGGTGGGGCCGAGCCATGTCTGGTAGGGATTGCTGACGCTGTTGAAGAACGTTAACCCAGAACTCAGCAGGGATGTCGACAAACTGAAGAGCAGGAGGGTGATGACCAATAAGTGGAGAGTTTTCTGAGAGGAGTTTGACAATTTCGATAAAACTGAAAAACAAAATGGTGGACCCACATTTAGATGGCAACAACCTTGTACTCAAGTGTTGGCTGGATGGTTGGTTTTTTTCCCAACGGAGCTTTAAAGTCATTCAATGCAACTCCCCCATTTTACAGAGGAGGAAACTGAGGCCCACAAAGGCAGTGAATTGCCCCAAGCCTCTTGTAAGACCTTCATTTTACAGAAAAGGAAATCTTAGACTGAGGTCAAGATGCCAACCCCAAATCACACCAGTCATGAACTAGACTCACCATCGGATCCAGCAGAGAAACAACATTGAGAAAGAGATTCTACAGGCAAAATGGCATCCACACGAATCAAGGCCTGTGCCTGTGCAGTCCTGGGGTACGTATACTGCATAAGCTTTGCCCTCAACAAGCTTATAACCTAATGGAAGGAAAGATGCAGGCATAGATAACCAGAGGAAGGAAGAGAGGGAAGGTGATAGGATTGATATGGCGTCTACCGTGTGCCAAGCACTGGGCTCAGCACTTTACAAAGATTGCCTCCTTTTCTCCTCCCAATAACTCTGAGAGAAGGTGCTGTTATTATCCCTTTTCTACCTCTGACGCTTTCTTGCTGTGTGAGGATGGGCCCTGAACTTCAGTATCCTCAGCTAGAAAATAGGGCTTAAAGATCTTCATACATTCCAAGGCTTATTGGGAAAACCCCACAGGAGTCTGAGTTATTGTTAAAAGAAGTTACCCCCTGGTCAAGTACCTGTTGCTTAAAAAGATTTTGGATTTCTGGTCCACCTCTTAAGACTCAAGAATGAAGGGCCCTTGACCAGGAATGGAGCCCACATAAAGGGCTGGTCAGAAGCGCCCTGGCCCGGAGCCTATCACCACTCTCCACAGCCTTTAAAGGGAAAAGGGTGAAGGGAGAGAAGCTGCCTATATCCATTTATCAGCTTTGAGTCCACAGGGAATCGCTATCATGTCAAAAGAAGAGCAGTAGAGACATTTAGAAAGTCACAGGAGATCAAATTCAGAACTAGAAATAAAAGCCAGGTCCCCAGGGATGTACATACCATTCACAAAACACAGCAGCAAGGGAACAGCAACCAGTTGTTAATCTAATAATGACTATATATAATGTATAACTATATATAATATAATAATAATGTTAGTATAACAATAACTAGGATTTGTATAGTGCTTCAAGGGTTACCAAGCCCCTTACCAATACTATCTCCTATGATCCCCACAGCAATAACCCCAAGAGGGAGGTGCGTATCCCCATTTTACAGTTGAGGAAACTGAGGCAAACAGAAGTGACTTGCCCAGAGTCCCACAGCCAGGGAATGTCTGAGGCTGGTTCCCAACTGAAGCATCTAGCGCTCGTCTTCATTACAGCCCAGCAAGCAAAGGTCAGGGGGCCGCTGACCAGCTGCAGGTGGCATTCTTGACAGGAACCATCAGCCCCTATGGTCTCTGAGATTCCTAATTCTCTGAGATCCCAGGATTCTCTGAACTCTGGCAGAAGAGAAAATCACTGCAAAGGAGAGACGCAAGGCAAGCCCTTCGGGATGTCTGAGCAGGGGGAGGGCCCTCCCACCTGGGAGGGGGCCAAGGCCGGTTTGCTGTGGGAGGCGCCCCTTTCAAGAGTCCACCCTAGGCTCAGGATTGAGAAGGAGCAAAGGGGCAGAAACAAGAGCCTGCGGGATCAGGCTGGGGGACGGAGACAATCCCCCGCCTGGTCCCTGTGCTCCCTCTGTCAGCCCGACCCTCCCACCCGGCCTCCCTCTACAAGGTGAGACGGATGCAGTCCCAAGGCGCGTGTCACAAATGCCCAACAACACGGCCAGACCCCACTTCGGCATTTTGTCCAGAGGCCAGCCCTGCTTAGTTTCTGCTGCTGGGAGTCAATGCCAGGGAACCCGTTGCGGGTGAAACCTATAACCAAATAGTCCAAATGCAGTGTTGAGCAAGGGATCAGGGCTGATTAAAGATGGCAGACAGAGCCTGCAGATGGACGCGCCTGAAGGCCTCTGCTTCAAACCTTCCCTGTGAAGGCCGTCCACCCGCAGCTGAGGCAGCTCACTCCACTCTGGGACAGCCCTCCACCCAACCTCCGTCCGCCTGTTTGCAGCTTGCACCTCTGGGTCCAGGCGGAGCCAGACTTAGCCCTCCTGCACTGACAGCCTTTCAAATACTTAGAGACGGCTCGCATGTGTCCCCGGAGCCTTCTTTTCTCCGGCTCAACACCCCCCTTCCCACTTCCTCCTCCGACCAATCCAAAATGATAGGAGAGGAATGATGGACAGCCAATCGCTGGTCATTTGCATACACAAGAGATTAAAAAATGCAAGTGATGCCCCCGCGGGGCTCCGGGGCCGAAGCTCGGCCGAGGATTGCTGCGAGCCCCGGCCATTAATCACCGGGGATGAGGGAGTGTGGATGGGTTGAGCCCTGCCTGTATCCATCACAGGACTGAGCCTCCTGGTGGACAGCAGTGTAGTCACTGAGACTCCCTGGGGATGGGCTCCTCCATCAGAAGGCTGGGGCTTTTCGCCGTTCAGTTCTGGCCCTGTCTTGTTCACCCTGAAGGACGAGGCGCTGTCCTGGCTTTGTGGAACCCGGAGTAAGGTCCCCTCTCCTCCCCCGGTGTGCGTCACAAATCATCCGGAGGCCACCCTCCTGGCCCAGGACGCGTGGAGTGGACGCAGATAGGCAGCACAGAGGGCCACAACTTCCTCATCACGTGAAAGAAACCGAAAGTTTTGTGGGCACCCAGGCTTCTCCTTTGTCAAAGGAAGGGCACCTGGGGCCGACGCCTTCTCTGGCCCGTTGTCCTTCGCCCCCTGGTTATCAGAGATCGGCAATGGAATAGGCCGGTACTAAGTTACCCACGGAAGGCGGCCTGGCATAGGGGAGTGAGAGAGGGGCCAGTCTGGGAGTCAGGAGCCCTGGGCTCAAGTCCTGCCTCTGTGGGGCCCTGGGCAAACCATAGAACTTCCCAGTGGCTCCAGATGATAACTTAGGGCAGAGGGGCTATCTGCATCAGAGGAGGGTTTCCAGAAAAGGACTTCCTTTTCTGTCCCTGTACCGATGAAATCACAGGTCTGGAGAGATAAAGGAGAAAATGAGAAAAAGCAAACCAAAAAACCAGACAAATAAATAAAAGCAGCCCAACAATTCTTGAGTCAAGAAGTTTAACATGGGTGATAATACTGGATTTGGAGTCAAAGGACCAGGAAGGACCAGCTGGTGGGGTTGGGGAGGGGCATGGCAGGTATATTCCAGTACCTGAGGAGCCAGCATATGTGATCCTGAGAAACCACCTTGTTTGCCTGGCTCCCAGTTCCCCCGTTTGTCAAATTGAGATGTAACCTTTGCTCCACCATCCTCATAGGATGGCGGCAAGAAAAGGGCTTTGTCACCTTGAAAGCTCAAAGCCAGTATGAGCTCTTGCACCTGCTACGATTAGGTGGGAGACTCTTAGGATAGTGGGAAGAGCACTGGAGTCACTGGATCTTGGTTTGAATCTCATCTCCTCTACTCACTGACCGTAGGACCCCAGGCCTGGCCCTTCTTAGGGTCAGCTAGTTAGCCCAGTGGATAGAGAACAGGTCCTGGAAGCAGGAAGATACCTTCCTGAGTTCAAATCCAGCCTCAGACACTTACTAACTGTGTGACCCTGTGTAAGTCACTTACCCCGGTATGCCTCAGTTTCCTCACCTGTCAAATGACCTGGAGAAGGAAATAGCAAACCACTCCAGTATCTTTGCCAAGAAAACCCCAAATGACTTTACTAAGAGTCAGACATGACTAAGAACAATTGAACAACATGATCTTTCCTCCTTCCCTCTCCTCCCACCCCGGAATGGGAGGTTGGACGAGGGCCCAGGACATCTCCTGGGCCCCTTCCAGCTCCAAACCCAGGATTTATTAGGACAAGATCTATTTATCTACCACTTTTGGCTGCTGTCTCTGGCTGCTGCCCTAATGATTTTGTACATATCTTATATCTCTATCTGTAAACACATTGCCTCTTCCCAGTAGAATGTAAGCTGCTGGAGGGCAGGAGCTGTTTCAGTCTTGTCTTTGTATTGCCAGTACCCAGCACAGAGCCAGGCACAGAAAAAGTCATGTTGGATTGAATTGATTGAACATGAAAGCTCAACAAAAATTGATTCTGGAAGTCAGGAAGCATTAGAAAAGACTGATCAAGGGGCAGATAGGCGACACTTACTAGCTGTGTGACCCTGGGCAAGTCACTTAACCCCAATTGCCTCATCAAAAAGCAAAAAAAAAGAAAAAAGAAAAAAAAAGAAAAAGAAAAGACTGATCACCAGAAACACCCAACAGCTGCCAACAAAATTAGCAAATCTAATTCCATTTTTTTTTTCTTTAAGAGGACACACATTTGTGCAGGGAACCCCCAGCCTGGCACTAATAACTGCCCCTTTGGCCATTAGAAACAACAAGGCCAAGTTACTTCTTCCTCTGTGGAGGTCCTAACTTCAGGAAGCAGTGCCCTGCTACAAGGGGATGAGATGCCAGTGGCAGGGTGGGCAGAGGGCACTGCCATGTCCCTGGCACTGCCCATCATTGGGGTAGCAAGCAGGGAATTTGGAGATGGGTTCTATAGAGCCTGCTCTGACCCTCTCTGAGTCTGTTTCCTCCTCAGCAGAATGAGGATCATGCCACGTGTAGTCAGAGGTATGCAAATATATTTAATAACCAGCCCCCCCCGGGGGGGGGGCGGAATGTGTCCACGACACATCTTTAAGCTTTTGATGTTGTTGTCAATCAGTTGTTTCAGTGGTGTCTTGCTCTCCATGACCCCATTTGGGGTTTTCTTGGTGGAGATACTACAGTGGTTTGCCATTTCCTTTTCCAGCTCATTTGACAGATGAGGAAACTGAGGCCAACAGGGTCACAAAGCTAGTAAATCTTTGAGGCTGGATTTGACTCAGGTCTCCCGGACACACTATCCACTGCACCATCTCGATGCCTTGTACAGGTTTCTGAGGCTGAGCTTCAGT